ATATATATAAATACATACATACATACATGCATGCATGCATACATATATACATAAAAATGTACGTACGTACGTGCATACATACATACATACATACATGCATGCATGCATGCATGTATATTAATATATATATATATATATATATATATGTATTTATACTTGCTGAATACACAAACATATACGCTACAGAGTTTGGGTATACGTACAACTGTAACAAATAGACGTATGTAAAAATATATACTACATAGACCAATAAGGCGCTACTGATAACCACAGCCAGTGAAATACACGCATATACGGACTAGTTGCGATAGCATTTGCAACTTTCCCATACATGCATGAGGAGGCGAGATGACAGGTGCGATAGACACTTTCATTGTATAGTGTAGCGTTATCGTGACCATGACTAGGCATAAGATACAAATGCGATTGTGTGTAGCCAGCAAACGTGTGGACCATCCCACATGACATGCCAGACTCGCAACAACGTATTAAACTGAACACAGCACGTGACTACCTAGGCAAACAAGAGCCCATCGACATGGACATACAACACATATCAAGCTCAATATAGTACGAAGGTGTGTGTATATACAGCACAGGCACCATTCACCCATGCACCAATACACACATGTGTGGTGCAGCTACAGGGTAAGGACCACTTACTTCGTAATGGTCTATGGTATCGCCGCGTCCGTACTCCACCATCACGCCGTTCTCCTCCCCTCGCCAGCAGTGTATGTCCCGGTAGTCTATGATAGTGTCTTTGTGGGCGCTACCGTAGCTGCCCTTGAACTCTTCCCGGAAGCAATCCAAACTACAAGGTGCAATAGACATGGAATCAGCTACGGAGTATGCAAAACAGAACACACAATGGAACACGCATATGCATATGTGATGCTGTACAGGTGGTAAGCTTTAGGCGAATGCCTGTACAAACAAATGCATGTGACAAATAGGTTCACAATGCCGGGTACAGGCACACCGGCAAGCACAGAATACGTTCGTTTCTTACCCGCTCAGCACACAAAATTAAGTCACAATCGAGCATTCATACCGAAATATTTGACTGCCTGACCTATACACACCTGGTTAGTTGAGCATAAGCGTATATGTGCCCATGTGTGGATGCCTGTCGGTTAGTCATGTGCATGATGGGGTACGACGGTGTATGCGTATGAACGGATTTACTATGTGTGTGGATGAGTGCCATAGTGACTATTGCCTTCAAAACGTGAATATGTGTTAGCTCGTTTTGCCAGCACTCCAGTGCATAAGGCCAATATACTTGCAATGAACTTATACGTAATATATGCCAGCAAGCTAACAACAACAACGACGTTGCAGCTATTCTTGATATATCATGAGCTGAAGCGCATCTGCATTTACTGTATACATGATAACACATCATTCATACACGAAAATACACGAGCAGATACCCAAGGGACAGT